AGTCCAGGATGTTTTTGAAATGCATTTTGCAAAGATCCCAGATGAACCTGTTGAGAGTAAGCCTGTTTATAATATCAAAACAGATACCACAAAGTCCCTTGGTAGAGAAAGCAGTACTGAAACTTCCTCTGAAGATAACTCTTCTAATGATTCTGAAGATGAGTGTATTGCAAACCTTAAGAAGCAGATTAGAGCTGTTCGTGACCAACTCCAGGTTCTATTCCAAGTACCACGCCATAAGCTAAAAAAAAAAAAAAAACCACAAATCTAAACAGGAAAAGAAAAAAGGAAAGGTTAATAACACAGATGAAAATCCAAGAAAGAAGTTTAAGCAAATGAAAATAAAGGAGAAATCTAAGAGCAATGAGCCAAAGAAGAGGCAACAACCAGTGTTGGCTCTGGAATCTGAGGATGAAGATAATGCTAAACCTATGAGCCATGATGAGAAAAGGCGGTTAAGTTTGGATATAAACAAACTCCCTGGAGATAAACTTGGAAAAGTCCTTCATATAATACATTCAAGAGAACCTTCACTGAGAAATTCTAACCATGAGGATATAGAGATAGACTTTGAAACACTGAAAACAACAACACTAAGAGAGCTAGAAAAATATGTTGCTGCATGTCTAAGAAAAAGACCACTAAAACCTCATGGTAAGAAAATAATGAAGTCAAATGAAGAACTTCATGCACAGAAAAAAACAGCAGTTGGAAAAGCGATTACTAGATGTCAATAATCAGTTAAATTCCAGAAAATGCCAAACAAAATCTGAGAAAACGCCATCATCCATAGCTGCTGTTGGAATTGGTTCCCGATTGAGTGACAGCAGCAGCAGTTCGTCAGAGTCTGAAAGTAGTAGCAGTGATTCAGTTACTTCACACAGCAGTGATTCCGAATCAGAGAGAGGAGAGAGATAGAAACATCGATGATGAGAGAGAATCATTGATCGCCTGCCTCCTACATGCCTCGTGATGGGGATTGAGCCTGAAACCTGAGCATGTTCCCTGGTGGGGAATTGAACCGTGACCTTCTGGTTCATGGGTTGACACTCAACGGCTAAGCCACACCAGTCGGGTGTTATATATTTTAAAGTTTATTGGGGTGACTAGTTAATAAAATTATATACATTCAAGTGTACAAAAAAAAAGAATACACTAGAAAGAATCAACATCAGATTAGATGAAGGAGAGGATCAAATCAGAGATTTGAAAGACAAGATAGCAGAAAAACCCAATCAAAACAACAAAAAGAAAAAATAATTTAAAAAAATGAAGATAGTTTAAGGGACCTCTGGGACAGCATCAAGCATAATAATATTTGTATCATAGAACTGCCCGAAGGAGAAGAGAGCAAGAGATTGAAAACCTATTTAAAAAAAAATAATGACAGAAAACTTCCCTAATCTGGTGAAGAAAAAAGACACACAAGTTCAGGAAGCATAAGGATCCCAAGCATGATAAACCCAAAGAGGCCCACACCAAGACACATCATAATTTAAATGGCAAATATTAAAAATAAAGAGAGAACCTTAAAAGCAATAAGAGCAAGACAACCTACAAGAGAGCTCTCATAAGGCTGTCAGTTGATTTCTCAACAGAAACTTTCCAGGCCAGAAGATATTGGCACAAAATATTTAAAGTAATGGAAAACAAGAACCTACAACCAAATTACTCTACCAAGCAAGATTATCATTTGAAACTGAAGGACATACAAAGAACTTTCCAGAAGAGAAAAAGCTAAAGAAGTTCCTCATCACCAATCCAGTATTACAAGAAATGTTAAAGGGGCTTCTTTAAGAAGAAGAAACACAATACTCTGGTTTCTCTTCAGATCGCATAAATCTTTTGCCTTTTACTAAGAAGAAGAAACAAGAAAAGAAACATATAACTATATACCTATCAATAATCACTTTAAATGAAATTGGATTAAATACTCCAATCAAAAGACATAGGGTAGCTGCAATATGCACTCAAGTTTCCTCATTGGTATATCACTATATTTTTGCCCATCTACCCTCACTAGATTTACTTTACCCACAAAATATTAATTACTGAAGCATTCTTGGTACAATAATAAAATATATTAAAGTTATTTATTTATTTATTTAAAAATATATTTTATTGATTTTTTTACAGAGAGGAAGGGAGAGGGATAGAGAGTTAGAAATAGCGATGAGAGAGAAACATTGATCAGCTGCCTCCTGCACACCTCCTACTGGGGATATGCCTGCAACCAAGGCACATGCCCTTGACCGGAATCGAACCTGGGACCCTTCAGTCTGCAGGCCAATGCTCTATCCACTGAGCAAAACTGGCTAGGGCAAAATATTTTAAAGTTATTTAAAAGGCTATTTCCTTCTCTCGAGGTGTTTTTACTTGTGGAGAGCAGCTACAGTGTTTGGACAGGTTATGGCCTGAACCTGTGGTCCCACGTGGCTAAGTGATATAAGCTGTGGGAGGTGCAGCAAATAAACAAAGCTTGATTAGGTGCATGTAATTGAGTAGATTCGAAACCCACAAGAATGTTGTAAACATCTTGACCATGCCCTTACTTTGCCTGGTGGAATCTACACGACTAATAGGCAAATATGTAAATTGACCATCCCTCTGCAACAGCCACAGCCAATCAGGAGTGAGTATGCAAATTAAGCCAACAAAGATGGCAGGCCTGTGGGTAGTGTGCATGCACACAGGCTCCGAGCAGCCAGGGATGAGGTGGTCTGCCCACCAACCTGCCATGTAGCCAGGGCAACACGGCAGACATCCCCATGACCCTGCCTACTCCAAGCCTGTGGCCAGCAGCATGCACGCTGGTGCTGAGCGGCCAGGGTTCTGGGGACGCCACTGTAGTGTCTGGTCCTGTCAACCAGGCCGGGGGGCGGCTGGAGTTCCCAGTCCTTTTGGTTTCTGCAGCCCCTGGACTGGAAGTGGAAACCAAGAGCGCGGGGAATGCCAGGAATGCTGGGAATTATAGTTCTGGTGGCAGACACATTGCGGGATCTCCTAGACACTAGACCAAAGTTAGCCTGGAGCAAGTTACTGTTGCGGGTGGTGGGTGAAGGGAAAGCAAAGGTGAGAGACATAAGTAAAGTCAGAGTGTCGAGGAAAAATTAAAAGGAAGATAGCCTGCAACTTCTAGGAAATTTCCACCAATGGAGCAAAGAAAAGAAAAAGACCTCTGTTATTCTGTGAGCACCAAGCCAAACTGGGTTAGGGTCTCAGACAATTTGCTCATATGATTGCAAAAACAGACAGAAACTCCTGGATTGGAGATGGCTCCCCTGAGGGCTCCCAGATTGGAGAGGGTGTAGGTCGGGCTGAGGGACCCACCCCCCATGCACGAATTTTGTGCATCAGGCTCCTAGTCTGGCTATAAAATAAAGACTCGGCTTGCAGGCTGTGGTGCTGTCTCTCCATCAGAGAGGGCAGCATCCCACCTAGCCCCAGTGTTCTTCTCTTGTCTGTCTTTTCTTAATCCTTCACCACCCCTTCTCAGACTCACTGAACCTGGCCATGCTGATGTGGCACATTTACTCACAACACTTTTGACACCAAATGTGTGTTTTTCCACGCCAAGAATCAGTTTTCTAACTCTCCAGACACCAATTGGGTGTTCTATAATTCTATTCTATTCTGAAACTACCTGGAATTAGCTTAGACTCCACCAGTTTAAGGACAACCCCACAAGACTGCCCCATTTCAGAAAATATTGGGTCTCACACTTCTGTCCAACTTGGCTACAAAGTTGGTGTTCCCATACTCCTCCCACCTCAGGTTTTATAATTTGCTTGAATGGCTCACAGAATTCAGGAAACACTTCACTTACTTACTATCACTGGTTTATTATAAGAAATACTAATGAACAGCAGGATGAAGAAGTACAGCCCGACCAGTGTGGCTCAGTGTGGTTGAACATCAACCTATACACCAAAAGATCTTTGGTTCGATTCTGGTCAGGACACATGCCTGGGTTTCAGGTTCGATCACTAGTGTGGGGCATACAGGAAGCAGCCAATCAGTGATTCTCTCTCATTATTGATGTTTCTATTGCCCTCTCCTTCTCCCTTCCTCTTTGAAATCAATAAAAATATATTAGATGGAGAAGAAGAAGAAGAAGAAGAGGAAGGAGGAGGAGGAGGAGGCGGAGGAGGAGGAAGAAGAAGGAGAAGGAGAAGGAGAAAGGATGAAGGAGAAGGAGAAGGAGGAGGAGGAGGAGGAGGTGGAGGAGGAGGAGGAAGAGGAAGGAGGAGGAGAAGGAGAAAGGATGAAGGAGAAGGAGAAGGAGGAGGAGGAGGAGGAGGTGGAGGAGGAGGAGGAAGAGGAAGGAGGAGGAGAAGGAGAAAGGATGAAGGAGAAGGAGAAGGAGGAGGAGGAGGAGGAGGTGGAGGAGGAGGAGGAAGAGGAAGGAGGAGGAGAAGGAGAAAGGATGAAGGAGAAGGAGAAGGAGGAGGAGGAGGAGGAGGTGGAGGAGGAGGAGGAGGAGGAAGGAGAAGGAGAAAGGATGAAGTCCAGAGGGTCCTGAGCACAGGATCTTCTGTGCCTGTGGAGCTGGGGTGGATATGTTTGCCAAGCTGGAAGTTCTCCAAGTCCTAGGCTTTAATGGAGGCTTCATTACATAAGCATAATTGATTAAATCAGTTGGCCATTGCTGATTAACTCAATCTCCAACTCTTCTTCCCTCCCCAGAGTGGGAGAAGGGTCCTGAAAGTTTCAACCCTCTAATCACAAAATTGGTTTCTATGGCAACCAGCCCCATGCAGTAGTTATCCAGGACCCACTAGTCATCTTATTAATGTAAACCCAGGTATGATTGAAGGGGGCTTATTATGAATAAAAAACACTCTTCTCACTCAGGAAATTCCAAGGGTTTTAGAAACTCGTGTCAGGAATCAGGTAAGAACACCAAATGTATATATTCCTTATTATATCATAATGTCACACCTTCCCCTTATTTGCTGAAAATAAGGAATGAGTGCCACCTGTGCCACCTTTTAAAAATAGAGACTCTCCAGTGAATTTACCACTTGTCATTATTTTGTATTCTATTGTTAGGACAGGGACCCATATGAGAATCTACTTATAAATCATGTACAGTCACACCTTCCAAAAATGCACATATGTCCCTATACATATGTATACAATTTTGCATGTAATCTGAGGGGCTCACAGACAGCTGAAACTCGAAGTCTCCAAGTTAAGAAACCCTGTCCTTGTGTGTCCAGCAGACAAGATATACATATGTATACAATTTTGCATGCAATCTGAGAGGCTCCAGGCAGCTGAAACTCGAAGTCTCCAAGTGAAGAAACCCTGTCCTTGTGTGTCCAGCAGACAAGTGTTGTCTACAGAGAATTGTGACAAAATTCTATCACCTCTACATTATTAGGAAGGAAGAGAAAGTGTGAAATACATTTCAATGAGGAATTTGTATGGATTTCGGAAGGACTTAAATGGTAAGATCACAAAAGGCTCTCTCTCTA